AGCCCTCTAAATGTGGGGGCCAGCTAGGAGGTCTGGGCAGTCTATGGGACCTCTAACAGTGGAGCCAGGGTTTATCCCCAGTGCACAAATGGACTTTGGGAGCCCATTCCCTATGGAGAGATACTATTGCAACCTAGATATACAAAAGAGGGTCTAGGCCTACCCCCAAAGGATGTGACAGACTTTGAAGATCCCCCCTTGGAAGGCCTCACTAACCTTGGGCAAATGACTACCAGCCTACAATCCACATCACCAGAGAAACTAGGAAACAAGAGAAAAACACCTGGTCCTTGAAAAAGGGGAAAGGGACAAGAATCCCTGAGTTGGGGGTGCTGGTGGGGGGCATGGGAGGATTGAAGGGAGAGGGAACTGGGATTGATATATAAAATAAGATTGTTTCTAAAATAAAAACAATAAAAAGAATGGGAGAAAATCTTTGTTAGCTATACATCTGACAGATGGTTACTATCTAGAATATAAAAAAAATCTCAAAACAACTAAACAACAGGAAATGAAATAACCCAATCAATAAATGAGCTAGTAAAATGAACAGTTATCAAACAATAGATTACAAATGGCCAACAAGGCTATGAAAAACCATACTAGCCACCAGAGAAATGAAAATTCATTTTATTTTTAATACATTAATATAATTCTAAACTCAACATAGTTACCATAAAAGAAACTGGGTATGAGGAGAAATAGATACAGAGAAGGAAGGGAAAGTAGATGGTGTTGTAATTTAAGAAAAACATCCCTTAAGAAAGACACCATGTGAGAGTTGAAGCAGAGGTGTTTTGTTCTGTTTTTTTTTAATTAGGGAAAGAGATCATAAAAGGGGGAAAGAGGAGGGAGGAGACCAGAGTAGTGGGAGAGAGGAGGAAGGTGGAACAAAGGGAGAGAGAGAGAGAGAGAGAGAGAGAGAGAGAGAGAGAGAGAGAGAGAGAGAGAGAGAGAGAGAGAGAGAGGATGGGAGGTGGCAGGGCTCAGGGCTCTTTTAAAAGGGAACACAGTGAATGTACACAGGTGGTGTTCTTAGTGGTTTCAGCTGAGGGCATATCCTGTAAGAACCCCGAGGACAGACCAGTAGAGATGCCTGAACACTAACAGATGGAACCCAAAAAACCAAATCACCCAATAAGGAAAGGAGTTATGAAGGAAAAATCATTTGATTAGCATTCTATTCCTATTAACATAAACTTATATGAAGTAACAAAAGTTTGATTTTAAGAAGGTTTATTTGCATGTTTACCTTAAAGAGCTCTGTTTTGTCACAAGTCATTCATTCACCTGTGGACACTAGACAGACTCCAGGAATTAGTTTATCCTTCCTGGAAGGTGGACATTATGGCACCAGAATCAATGTATTTTGGGTATATTTTCCACTAAAACAATAAGAACAAAATAGCTTTTTTCTTTTTCTCCTGCGCTCTGGTTTTATCTTGTTTTATTTTGATTTTGATCAAAGGACTTCCATAAAGGTAGACAAAGTGTAAAGCTATGGGAGATTAAATCCCACTGCACAGCAACCAAATGTTACCAACAGGAGAATGATGAGGGAGTTTTCCCACCCCTGCAGACCATAAACATTTCCTCAACTCACAAACACTAGACTTGAAATCCTATGGATCTCAGGTACCCTGAGGCGGAGGTGATTTAGCTACGCACTCTTGGATTCTGCTGACCTCCAGAGGGAGTCCTGCAGCAGCTACAGCATATGCTCAACAGCCAGAGAACAGATACAACTTTGCACTCCCAGTGCAGAGTCTATACAGCGTGAGAGATTTCCTCACAGTGAGCATCTTTCATAAGTGGGCAGTTTGTAGCAGTACCAGTGATGTCTTATGAGCTCTTGGACAACAGGTATTCAAGTAAAACTATCTATTAAAGTCACATTTCCACAGATAATGCTGGAAATCCAGCCAACTCTATAACTTAGGAAACTTTATGAACTATAAACAAAACTCAGAATTACTTAGAATAACATGACTCTTGCTAGACACAGTCCACTTTCATGGCTATTTTATTATATGGAATATACCACTGTAAGATCCTGAAACTCAGAATTAATATCCACAATGTCTTTGGTCAATATATTAAGAATGAAGGATCTGAGGGAAAACTAGTATTGGCTTACGTAAAGGAACAAGGATTCTGTTACTCCAAATCAACAGGAAGCCTAAAGTCTCAGCAGTAATTCATTAATCATCAACTGCAATAGCCTTTAAACATTCCTGGAGTTAGGAGATCATATCAAGGCCAGACCAGCTTCTCCAGCTTTCATCTTTGCAATCTGTTAGATGTCTTTTATCCTATCCTTTGAGGATGAAAATGACAAATGTCATACTATTGCTTTCTGCCATGTAACAGCTTTCATCAAAGACTGTAAGAGCCAGAGGTGGTGAATGAATCCTAGGAAACGGTGTCTTCTGGGCAGCACAGGGCAGGTGGACATATGAGTTCACAGCAGAGTAATTTCAAGCCAGACCAAATCTCAGTGCTGGCAGAGGAAGACTGACATGAAGTCCCACTCTTAGGAAAAGAACTGCTGACAGTTGATGGCTTCTGGGAGACATAGAATCAATTTTTGTCAAGAGTATTGCCACCACTAGGTTGACCATGCTGTACTGGAAAGCCACACATCCAACAGTATACAAACGGCAGCACAAGTAGGATGTGATGGAGGAATAAAGAGGACAACAAATTGGGTGGGTAGGGAAGGGGTGGATTTGGAAAAAAGGTGGGGGAGAAAGTGGACATGGTCAAAACTCATTGTATGAAAGTCTCAAAACTAATACTATATCCATAGACTTGATATAACAGATATATTTGAAATAAGCCAAGGTATGAATTAAATAAGTAACATTTTTTGAGGATTCATGCCAAATGGATGCATTTCTGCTTTGTAAATATGGTTCAATTAAGAGGACAGAATTCTCCAGTGAACTATTTATATTGTCCAACTGTATTGTCAACTCTAATCATAAGATACCAAATTTCCAAGCATCTCCCCTGGAGTGGGAGCTGACAGGCTGCTTACCTGTAACAGCACACCACTCCACTCCACCCTTTGAAGAGCACAAAGATGCAGATTTCCAGAAAGGAAGAAATGACAGGATAGAGGAGGAAGAGTCCAAATAAGATAGTCTGTGGGATCTGGGAGAATGTGCTCAGGGTAAGTACTTGCTGTTCAAACATTGTGGCTTGACTTTGGATCCCCACCTGATCCTGCCCAAACACGACTATAATGTCAGTGCTGGAGGCAGGGCTAGATGGATCCCTGTGGCTTGCTGGCCAGCCAGTCTAGCCAATATAGTGAGCCTAAGTTTCAGTGAGTGACCCTGTCTCAAAATGCAAAGTGGACAGTAACAGGAGAAGACACTGGAAATCAAACTCTGGCCTCCACATGTGCACACATGGGCATGTGCACCCACATGTAACACACACACACACACACACACACACACACACACAGTGTTATTCTTTGAAGAGAGGTGGTCACAGAAAAGGAAAATGACTTATGATATTACAACACATTTTTAATCAAATTGTAAATAAAAGTACCAATGATTATTCAGTTTCTTGACCTAAGCAATGTTGCCATTCCAATGTCTTGCTTTTCCTTATATGCAAAAAGCATAGTAAAGCATGACTGTTATAAAGTAACTTGGTGGGTGTTTATAAAAGTGGTGGCTGTGATGAAATTGCTCATGCTGCAGCTCTGGTATGCTTTATTCACTCTTGTCACATACAGAGTTCAACCATGCTGGATTCACTCCAGTAAAGTAGAGAAAACCCAGCCCCACAAGAGCAGAAGTGTAACTCAACATTCAGGGGGAGAACTCAGGCATCCCCTTGATGCAGATGATTAGTCATAGGACACTACTCAGGACTGCACAGTGATACCCAAAGCAGACCCTAAGGGTCTCAACATCAGCTCTCTCCTCTAACATGGTCGCACTTGAAACAGGTCTACAGGAAAGTGTCATCAATCAAAGAAGGAAAATCCAGCTCTGTTTAAGAAAGCTTTGTTTCTTTATCTGGAACAGAAGAATTAAGAAATACATACATTTGTGTGTGTGTGTGCACGTGCACGTACACAGGTGCACGTGTGTGCATAGATTCCATATGACAGGTCTATCAAATAAAAACCAAATATAGTACAAAAGTCTCATTTTAATTAGTCATAGGAATTTTAAAAAGAGAAATCATACATTTCATGAGTTTCTAGAAACCAAAATATGCTTGAGAAATAGTGAGTTGCCTCATTGTGAAAAAATAAAACAGCAGGAAGAGACACAATCCCCCTGTCCCCAGATATGAGGAGGGAACCTTAACTAGGGTTTCTAAACATGAGCAGGAAGCCTCAGCATCCAGGCAGTTATGGTCTCTTTAATTCTGCCTGTTACCCACTTTCTGACTCTACGAGGAATGAATGCTACAGGACAGGACCTACAGTATCCATTATGACTTTGTTGAATTGAAGGTGTTTGGGGTTTGGTTTCCAATAGTAATGGACTGGCACGCACCAGGGAATTCACCAGAAGCCTTGTCTTAGAATTTAGAGACAGCAATGGAGGCTATACTATGAAGCAAAGGTAAGATTCTGGGTAGTGTTTCCTGTGTTTATTTTTCTTGCAGAACTTTAAATAGTTGCTTTGGCCCCATAACTGTCCTCGCCTGGAGCCTCAAAGCTGTTTACAGAATCCAAGAGTTGCAGCAGTATATTTCCATGAGCTCATGAGCAGCCAGCCCCGGCTGTACCTTGCCATTTCACATGTGCCCGAGAATATCCATGCCACTCAAGCCCTGCTTTGGGCTTGTGCTTTAATGACAAAGCAGCAGAAGTTGGATGGTTAATTACCCCTCTCTCAGGGCTTCTTTACAATCCCTGCTGTGGTCACTATGTTAAAGCTATCAGAAGGCCATTTCTTGCCGGCCTCTTTATGCTAATTAGCTAGTTCTCTCTGCTCCTCCCCCTGCAGCCTCCCTTAAGAACTGTACACATCCAGCTGTCACAGGGCAAACTCTGACCAAGCAGAGAAACCTTGATTTCATCCTGCAGTACTTCCCCCCTTGCCTGTGAGTTTCTCTGACAGTCCTCTCTATGGGAGAGACTGGACTCCAAGAGACTGCAGAAGAAACTGAAAATAGCCAAAACTGACATACAGAGAGAGATAGTTTCTTTATAGGATTTTACATTATAAAAGGAGAGTTTCAGAATGCTTTGAAACAAAGTAAGAACGAAGTCTTGTTTCTAGCCAAGTAAGTTGGCATCTTTGTAGGCAGAAGATGTAGCACTGGTAAATATTTACTGCAGGATTCTTAACCAAGGAAAACTCTGGCATGTTCTTCGAGGAGTAAATGTTTTACATGTGAGGCGAGATCTGCGTGGGCCTCTGTGTTCCTTCCAAGTGACTTCTGGAGACACTTTTAGATGACTGGCTAAGACAAAATGCCCTAGTGATCCGCGAGCTGCAACCAGATTGTCGGTACCATGTCTAGCACACAAAGGAAAGACGACCCCAGCCACCTGCTCGCCAGTTTGGGCACACATCAGCTGAAAGTGCAGAAGGACCAGCAACAGCGAGGTGGGTCTAGCGAGCTAAGTCCTGAGTTCTGTGACTCTCTGGCCATTTGCATGTCTGGGAGAAGGGTGGGCTGCTGAAGCGCCTGGGAAGCTCTGATTATAAAATGCTTTTAAACTTTGAGGAGAGGAATGACAGTGAGGCTCGACATTGGGTTAACATGGTCTCACTGTTGCTTTGAAGGATTATCAATAGTTAGAAGAGTATGAAGAATTCACAATCCTTGGAAACGTGCACTTAAACTTCCAGCCCTTGTCAGTTATGTAGAGTTTCACAAAGTGTGGATGACTGAAAACACCCATTGGGACAAGGCCGACTTGACTGGCTACTGAAGGAATTTAGCAGAGAACAGTTTTGCTAGCCTGGCACTGTTCCCCAAGTCCAGGTGAGGGCTTTCTTTTTGTGTGGACTTGTGAGTCATTCATTTGTGGAAAATACATATTTGTGACACTCTTCTTTTATAGTCCAAAAAGAACTAAACAGATAGTGTGGCATTTTACCTGATGGGCATCTAAACTCCACACCATATAGTTTTTCTGGGAATAAGCTTTAAAAGCATTTCAGATTGCCTACCCAAGCAGCAGATGGTTGACATGAATAGAACAACTATTACCCTAGTCCACTGTTAAGGACAGCAGAGGACACTGGTGGGAAAGGTGGTGTGCTGATGACATCACCCCAGAGGTTAACCTTGGCAGCCTGTGATGGATCTATGTTATACGTCACATGAGCCTCTCATTTGTTTCCCTGTAGACTCAGCTTTAGATGTCACTCTCACAGAGAGTAGCAACAAATGAACTGAAACTGTCCATGTTCCAGGTGGCATCTGTGTGCTAACAATTGGTGAATGTCACAAGCCACCTCCCTGCAAGAATCCTGAGCTGAGCCAAGTGATCTCATGCCACACAGCACTTAAGATAGCATGGATAGGAGAGGATTCCTGCAAAATGACTACAGGGCAGACATTTCAGAACATGCTATAACATGTTCTGAAAAAAAATAGTTTTGAACCAATAGCCTTAGGCAGCTCTATACACATTGCTCCTGTGCTACTAGAAACTCTTAGTTTATTATGGCTTTGTCAATGCCTTTATCTGTTGCTTTTTTTTTTTGGCTTGGAATGTTTAAGGCCTTACCTTACCTCACCTTATTCAGATGTAATATTTATAATAGAAAATTTTGGGAGAGGATCCTAAAGAAATCAGTAAAAAAATAGCTTGTAACTTACTACCTAAAGATAAGTACAATAACATTTTAATAAGCATTCTAGACTCTTTTTCAGTATTTATACTTGGATTGCTATTTTGCTTGCTTTTTAAAATAAAAAATGATGTATTTGACACATAGTACTCTGTAAACTGTCTTTTAATTAACAGTATATGATGACCAAATTCTCATGTCATTATATGCTCTCTAGAGCATTATTTTTTTAGTGGTCAATGTCAGAAATTTTTCACTAAAGTTACTACTGTTAAATATAAATTACTAGTTATATCTATGCACAGATGATTATTTTCATTGAATAAGTTCTTAGAAAAGCATATGCTTAAAAGATTATTGCTGTTTTTAAATCTTTTTTCCTGGCCAAGTGGTTTTCCACTCTCCAATAATGAATGTAAGAGTATGATCTCAGTAGTACTGGGCATTAATTTTAAATTTTGTTTCCCATATTATAAGCAGAAAATAATATCCCACTGTTGTTTTAATTTAAGGAAGGCTGCCTTGATGGCTTATCCTTTATTGGCCTTATCCAGAGAAGGCTGGAAATATCATTATGACGACAGACTTCCCTAAATAACAAGAAGACTAGCAGCCTTCTCTTGTTTTCTTAGCCTGAAGCTCTCTCCTTGGAATGTTTTGAAAGTAACCACATTCTTCTGTGGCCCACTCTCAAAATATCTGCCCACAAAAACCATAATCCATAAAGTTGTGAGGCATGTTAATGAAGTCCAGACTAGCCATTGAAAGCCTCAAGACATGTCAGCTAGAGGTCTGAGCTCACAAGTGACACTGAAACGCTGTTCCAGTTCTTAGAACCCGAAAGCTTACATTTATTGCCATCTTGGGTTTAAAGGTGCCCATTCACTGTGGTTGCAATGTTTTTCCCAAAAGCTATGCTTGCACCTTGCTATTATGCGAAGTTCAGCAAAGGTTCAAGGAGGCAAAGTCTTAGAGTGATGCTTGGCTGTGGATATGAACACCAGCTACCCGAGTTCACACCTTTAGCCTCATTTCATCCAGGGCAATATTCTAGCTCTCTTATCTACCATGTGCAATGTGATTTATTACCCTGTAACTCTGCTGAAGCATGTCCAGATTTAGTGTACATTCATATGTCTAGCCCTCCATACAGTATGTGAATGTATTTTATTTTAACTCTGGTATTTGAGTCTTTCTATTTAGTCAGTCATGAAAATGTACTGTTTTGGTTGACTGCAGGGATAAAAGTTATTTATTCTTTGGGCAACAACTGTGCAAAGTATTGTGTCAGGTACCGGGTAGATAAATGAGCTAAGACAATTCAGGTACAGTTTCCTGTGTACCCCAAGTGACTCTCAATGGCACAGATACTACATTTGTCCAGAACAGAAATTTAGCACCTTCCTCTTTCTTCTTCCTTTTGTCCCCAGGTTCCTCTATGCTAATTTTAATCCATTATCTGTAATACTGACCATGCAGATAAATATTAATGTTAATATCTGATAGGTTCATCATGAATTACATATATTAAGCAAACAACCATCCTTGTCTTTTCTAGTGCTTTAAAATTTCGAATGACGTCATGTATGTTCTTATTTAACCCATGCGGCAAAATACAAACCAGTGCACTAGTTGTGGTAAGTGGGAGGACAATTATGGATGCTGGAAAGTCCAGGAATGAGCTTGAGCCCAAGCAGAAACTGATGCTGCTCCAGTTGACGTCTGTTCCTTATTGTTCCGGGCAAAGCAATCTTGTTTTATTCAAGCCTTAAGCTGACTGAGAGCCTACTCACATCGTGGAGAGCTGTTTACTTAACCACACAATTGAATGTCACTCAAAGCATTTGTAGACATGTTGAACAACTATCTTGGTACTGTAGCCCAAGTGGAAATAAAGACAGTGGAAATAAAAGTCTACTAAAAAACAGTATACTACCTCATTCTAAAGATATGTAGAAAGACTCTTCAAGGTTAAATGACTTTTCTAAGGTTATATAATAATTAAGGGCTATTTTAAATGTCATTTTTGTTCTATATAACTATTTTACAAATCATACGCCTTAGGGTTACAATATTTGATCTTTTTTCATAGGTTCATACCAAAGGCACTTTCTGACAATTATTCAAAATGCCTTGGACTGCCTCTTGATTTTCTTTGTGTGTTTTGATACCAGTTTTCTGACACCAGTTCTTTGAGTATCCTGTGATTCAATCCAATTCTGACACTACCAAGAGTTAGCAAAGACTCCACAAGGTGACCACACCATCTCACAAGGATGCCCCATTTCAGGCACCCATCACTAATTACAGGAGTCTACAAGCTGCTTGCACCTCTGCCACCTCAACCACAAATTCGAAGTTTCCCAACACTCTCCCAGACTTGATAATTCACTGGGATGGCTCACAGACTTCTTTGTTACTCTACTTATGATCACTATTTCATTATGGAGAATTCAGATGGTTAACCAGGTTAGAGATGCAGACTCAAGGTCTGGGAGGATTATGAGTGCAGGAGCTGGTCTCCGTGGAGTCAGGTGTGCCTTACTCCCATATACTAATATATTTTTCAGTCAGGAGACTCCACTGATCAGTGTCTGAAGTTTTTTTATGAGTTTCATTATGTAGGTTGATTGGCGATGTCATTAATCATGTTACGAGCCCTTCTCTACATCCCTGCAACTGAGCAGTTCAACCTCCAACCAGAGGCTTAGTCTTCTTGATGTGGTCAGTCCTACCCTTAAAGATATCTAAGTGTCCACTACTGGTCATTTCATTCACCTAAAAAGACATACCTATCACTCAGGAAATTCATACCTTATGAAGTTCTGTGAAGGGAATACGGACAAGAATACATATATTTATTATATAATTTTTGGTAATTTTCTGGATGGACTTTATTCTCAACATACATTATTGAATTGAAAGATATCCTAAGATGCCTGTTTTCTAATGAGAAATAGAAGGGCTGTGGATTCTGATGGGAGTGGGGAAGTTTGAAGAACCTGGATCTGGGGGAGAGGGAAGCATAATCAGAATATATTGTATGAAAAACCTATTTTCAATTAAAGAAAAATATACAAAGATACAGACCAACACCCTCAGCTTTTAATGTATAATTAACACATTTTAATTAATACCTACCATAGAGTAGATGAGTATCAGACACTGAAAATGCAAACATGTTTTTCTCCTAAGTGTGCTTCCAAATATGGATTTTCTAAAGAATTAAATATTAAGAACTGAGCAAATATTTTTCAATCCTTTGGATAGACTCTAAACCATAAAATACACATTGCACTTGGATTATTGTGAATGTGTTATTTTCTTCAAATGTTTCCTGTAGCTATGTATGAATGCCCTAATTTATTACCTAGAGAATGTATGAAGTAAATGAAATGAACACAGAGGCACAAAGAGGGACTTCAGTAGTTACTGCATGATTATAAATATATCATTTCTTTTAGATGAGGTTATCACTAAATACCGTTATGGTTCTCCAAATAGATTTGTAATTTCCTTTGTGGTTTTGAAGCATTGATGCTGTACACACAGTATGACATCATATGGGTGACATATAGTCAAAATGGACTCAGACCGACAGTGGAAAATCTACACTTCTGTTTTTCTGCAACCAAAAGGAAGCCTTGCAGAGGCTCAAAGACCCTTGTTTTAGTTTTGCAGGACCACTTGAATTTAGAACTACAAATTGATAGAGGTATGGATTACTTTAAGAGTTTGGAGAGGGAAAAGCTTTAGGCTGAAAACCATGCCTCTTGTACTCAGTGTAGGAATCCTCACCTCAA